GGAACAGTTGAGCGATCCCAATGTGGCTGTTAGAAGAGGATCAGCTCTAGCATTAAGCGTTTTGCCTTATGAATTCTTGGCCAACAGGTGGAAAGATGTGCTTCTGAAACTTTGTTGCTCATGTGCAATTGAGGTGTGTGATAAAAACTAAATTTTCATAAAAAATGGGATAAGACATCTTTACAATGTACTTTCCCTTTATAAATTGTGTGCACCTTTGCAGGATAATCCTGACGATAGGGATGCTGAAGCTCGAGTGAATGCTGTCAGAGGGCTTGTTTCAGTATGTGAGACATTAGTTCAGGGAAGAGAATTCTCAAACGTCGATGAATTACCATTGTTATATCTGATCAAGGATGAAGTAATGGCAAGTTTATTTAAAGCTCTTGATGACTACTCTGTTGATAACAGAGGCGATGTTGGTTCTTGGGTTCGTGAGGCTGCTATGATTGGTCTTGAGAAATGTACATATATTCTTTGTGCGAGAGATTCTAATGGCTTCACTAAAAAATTAAACTCTGTTGGTTCTGAACAAGAGTCACTCCATTGTGAGATGTCTGAGAAAGACCAAACAAATTCCTTCTTTGATTCAGCTATGGCTACTAGTTTAGTGGGAGGAATTTGCAAACAAGCTGTAGAGAAGCTGGACAAGTTAAGGGAAGCAGCAGCGATGGTTCTTCTACGGATATTATACAGCAAGGTTATCCTTGTTCCACATATTCCTTTCCGAGATACCTTGGAAGAAATTATTCCTGATGATCCAAATATGAAATGGGCGGTGAGTTCTAATAAATTGTTCCCGAAGATTCATGTTCTTTTTGAATCAGGGATGAAAGTTTGTTATTTTCTAATGTTGTGCACCATCAATTTCCTAATAGGTCCCTGCAGTTTCATATCCTCATTTTGTACGGCTGCTGCAATTTGGTTGTTATAGTAAAACTGTAATGTCTGGGTTGGTTATCTCTATTGGTGGTATGCAAGATTCATTGAGCAAGGCATCAATATCTGCTTTGATGGAATATCTTGAAGGAGATGCAATTGAAGATCAGGATAAGAGGTCTAGGAAGGGAATGCTATTTACAGATCTTATTTGGATCCTTCAAAGGTATAAGAAATGTGACAGAGTCATTATACCAACTTTCAAGGTAATTTACTATTACTATCCTCCGAAAGAACTTTAATAAATTGCTGACTTCTCATTGTGGAGGATAATCTGTTCTGTGGTTCAGTTAAGCACATTATTATTGTTATTTTCGAAGAATTTTAACTTTTGATAGGAATTCAATGTTACAAAAGGTAATTGAAGGACTTCTCTTTCCTTGAGCAAAAGAAAATTTTATCGTCTTCAAATTGGAGATGAGAGAGATGAGAGAGGGAAATCTTCTCCTCTCCAACATCAAAACCTTTAAGAATCCCACCATCTACTCCTTTAACAATCATCCTACTAAGAACACCCACCACCAACAAGAAAAGGAAAGGGAACAAAGGGTCACCTTGCCTAAAACCTCTGGAGGCTTTTATTTTACCCCTACGACGTCCGATAATTAGGATTGAGTACTTGATTGATCTAGTCCAACTCCAAATCCAATACCTCCATCTGTACCCAAAACATTTTTTTTTGCAAGAACCTTATCGAGAAAGTTCCACGTGGTCATAAACCTTCTCATATCTATCTTAAAAATAATTCCCTTCCATTTACAGCTTCTATAATCCTCGATAGCCTCATTTGCTATAAGAGTCTGATCAAGGATTTGTCTCCCTGCAATGCTCACTTTGGGTTTTTCAAAATTGTCGAGGGCAGGACCCTCTTCAATCTGTTTGCCAAAACATTAACAATCATCTTATGGATGCTTGTGATTGGACTGATGGGTATACATCCTTAACCTTCACGACCCTCTCTTTCTTAGGGATGAGACAAACAAAAGTATCGTTTAGAAAGCTATCAAGAATACCCCTTTGAATGAACTCATCCTGAAAAAAACCCATCCTCTCTTATGCATTCTTTGTAGGCAAGCGTCAGAGCATCTTGATCATACTTGGTGGAGTTGTTAGTTTGCTCAGTCTTTATGGAATTGCTATATGGGCATTGTTCAAGGTCTACTCGACTCATTACAGAATCCGTTGTTCTTTGATGGTGGAGAAGATGTTTGGAAGGATTCTATATATTTAACCTCTTTGTGGGTGTCTCTTAGGTTTAACCTTTTGAAATAGAACTGGTATTAAGGATACCTTTATTTTTCTAATTTCGGAAAAGAAAAAGCAACTTGTGTGAAAGAACTTAGTTTAGTGATTACTGTTGTCCCATTCTTCAAAATTATTGCTCAAAGTCGTGGTGATTAGTTGAGATTATTATATCATATGAAGAACCTTGAAGCCTTGATTTTCGTTTTCTGTGGTTTTTGTTTTATTTATATATTTTTGGTGTATTTACTTAATTCAGCTTATGGCATTGCCTTCTCGTTTTCTTTATATGCATTCTTGGCTTCTGCGGCACTCTTCCTTCAGATATCCATCAAAGTTTGACTATTTTTTCTTGCTACTGTAGAAACTTCATAGTATTGATGTTCTATTCTCTATTTCAGACCATCGAGATTCTTTTCAGCAAGAGGATATTATTGAACATGGAGGTCCGTTATCTTCATCTCTTTGATCTTATTTTCCCTTTCATAATCTTCATGCTGCTATTCGAAATTTCTGGTTAATATATTGTCATCACCATCATCCATCTCAATTGACTTCACTGTTGGTAATTGACCATGGAATGTAATCTCCAGGTTCACCTATCGAGCTTTTGTAATGGCATTTTGGATTCCTTGGAAATTGAGATGAAGGGGTCAAAAGACTTCTCGAAGTTATATGCTGGAATTTCTATACTTGGTTATATTACTTCACTTTCGGAACCCGTTAATTCTCGAGCATTCGTTCATCTTCTATCTTTCCTTAGCCATCGATACCCCAAGGTTTGAAGAAGCTCAGCTTAAATACGTTCTTGTTATGTTTCTCTTGCCTTTCTTAAGCTGGCAATTCATTATGGTCGACCGTAGTCCAGTTGTTTCTCGACCTTGAATTAATGCTTAAATGAATCCTATTAACAGCTGGTTTTGATATGATTATTTCGAATTCAGATTCGGAAAGCTTCTGCGGAACAAGTTTACCTTGTTCTTCTACAAAATGGGGATTTTGTGCCTGAAGATAAGATTGAGCAAGCACTTGAAATAGTCTCCAACACTTGCTGGGAAGGGGACTTGGAAAATGCAAAACTCCAAAGGCAGGAACTGTCTGACATTGCTGGAATAGAAATCAATCTACATCCCGTGCGGGCTCCTGAGAAGGAAGTCAAGAATCGATTTTCAGCTTCGGATGAAAACGCTACCTATTCTTCATTGGTCGAGTCAACCGGATTCTGAACGCTCAATCATATGCTCAGGCTTCTGTGACTCTTCCTCCTTTCCTGTAGGCTTTTTGGTATGTCCTTGACCAATGGCTTCTGTGATTCTATTGAGCAGAGTGTTTACAGAAGTTAAAATTGCGTTGGAATGAAGCGTTGCTGGTGGGCTCAGTCAAAATAGTTTCTTGTCGCCTCTCCGTAAAATACTCGTTCTCGTTCGTAACGAGGTGGGAGACAAGTATGTATGTATGTGATGAGTTTATTTGTTGAAAATCTATCCAGAGGTTGCTGTTGGGTTGATGTCCATGGTTATTTTCTGTGTTGATTATTTTATGCAATGCAAATTAAAAAAATGGAGATAGGATAGAAGAGGATATTTCACTCCATTTTATGTATAACATACCCACACTTGCAAGTTTAGTCATTCTCTCTCGTTCTATTTTTTATTTGTTTTTTTTTTCTTTTCTTTTCATCATTGTTTTGTATAAACCTTCCAAGTTTAAGAGAATTGTTATTTGGGAGGTTGCTTGAGGAATCACATATATAAGGTCAAAAAGGTTATTGAATCAAAATGTACTATAGTAGAGGTACGGTGTCGCTCTCCACCACCCTTAGGCCTATGGCTTAAGTGAGCTACCTTGTGACGCATTCGTGTATCACAACGTGGATAAGCATTGTGGGACAAGCATCTCAGACATCTTCCTTTGGAAATGGTCTTTCAATTGGACTTTTTTAGTCTTCAATCAAGTTTCCTCACAATCTTATGTAGTTTACGTTGCATACTTAAAACCATTCAAATTTGACTTGATCACACTGATTCGAGACTCTTAGCTATTTTAGATTAAAGGTCTGATTCTTTAACAAAATCACGAAAATTTCATATCATTTTGAATTAAATCATATCGAATCGAAGTTGGCATATTTAGATCCAATTGAGATATAAAGCATTTCCACTCAAACCAAGAACAAATAAACAAAATGGGTAGTTTGGTTTATGTTGGCCAACATGAAAATAAAAAGGGAATTAGGTGACAATCAATTTAATTATCATACAATATAAATATTTAAACATTGAGACCAAAAAAAAAAAAAAAAAAAAAAAAAAAAAATGGG